TCAATTATTCAATTCAAAACTGGTTTATCTAAATATTCGAGTTTTCGGGCCAATTCAGTAAAATTACTTAGTTAGTAGTGAATATACAGACTTGCAACTTTTAACATCTTTCTAGGAATGAAAAGAGCGCTCGATAACTGATGCTTGGCGCAGAATAGCATGATGCACGAAGTTTCCAAACAGCTTGTTTTGTCATTTACCCGTAACAGTGAAAGGTAGATCTGTTAGGTAATATTGTTGCGAAATGAACTAGTGGGGTCTTGATTATTGCAAACTTTGATTTCAACAACATAACCCAGTCAATATTGAGGAATGTCCCCTATTTTCTCAAAAATCAAACTGAATGTCAAACTGCTAAGGTAGCAAGACCTTGATTGCTGAATTAGTCCTCCGCACTGTTGGTTTCAAATCTGCATATACTGCAAAGCAACGTGTGTTAGATGGGATTGTTTCGGTTCCACATTCTTCAGTTGAATTAATTAGCAACACCATCCTTACCGTTAGAGTTTAGCCACTCCTCAAAAAAGCGAAGTAATACTTGCGAGTATAGCACATTTTATGGCTCAAAAGTACTATTTGCAAGCAGTGAAGACTTTTACCTTTTATACACCATTTATTGGGAACACATGCACTCCAAATTATGTGCAAAAAAAGCAAAAAGATTTTTGGCCCTTTTTGGACTGACGGGGGCGGGTTGAGCAGTGGCACCAATGTTGCTGTCGAGAGATACTCAACATGGAACATGACCGAAGTGTAGGCGAAGAATGGATGAAACTCCTGGCTGGCTGGACGGCGCAGGAGTAAAGTGCTGGAAGGAGGGCAGATTTCTCATTCATGTTATTTTTCGGCAATATTTGAATTTAGTTAGAAGGTCGACCTCAATTGCGTACGAGAAGCAGACGGTAAGGTGTACACCAGCCTCTTTAGGTGAAGCGGGTCACAATAAACTTTTCCTCTCTAGCTGAATAGGGTCTTGGGGGGAGGAGAGAGATGGTATATCTTCATATTATTGAAATTTCTATGCAATTTTGTGTCAATAAGAGATAAGAG